ATATTTTGAAGAGTTTGTTAAAGAATACTTTGAAGAATCTGTTAAACAATACTTTGAAAGAATCTGTTAAAGAATATTTTGAAGAGTTTGTTAAAAAATACTTTGAAGAATCTGTTAAACAATACTTTGAAGAATCTGTTAAACAATATTTTGAAGAGTTTGTTAAAGAATACTTTGAAGAATCTGTTAAACAATACTTTGAAAAATCTATTAAAGAATATGTTGAAAAGTATGTTAAAAGATCTGTTAAACAATACTTTGGAGAATCTGTTAAACAATACTTTGAAGAATCTGTTAAACAATATTTTGAAGAGTATGTTAAAGAATACTTCGAAGAATCTGTTAAAGAAATCGTTACGAGAACAATTTAAAAAACCCTTTAAAGAAGTTTTTGGAAGCATCTTTAGAAGCATTTTTTGTAGAAACATTTTTTTTCAAGCAAACTCTTTAAGAATTTCACTTTCTTTGATCAACATCCACATATATTTAATAAGGATGAGAGTGAGGAGAAAAAAGTTGTGGCCTTTTGCGACCTACGAGTCTTCTCGACTTATTAGAGGTGCCAAGTTCGATTCCCCGAAGCGTGGGTTGTGTGAGGGTTTCTTGTTATATGTCATGGAGAAACGTCTGCCTCGGTTGACGAGTAGAGACCCCCCAGTGTCAGTTGGTGGTTTGGGTCCTCGGGACGGTGTCGTGAGGTCCCTCCAGGCGCAGGATATCCTGATATCATCTTATAGGTTCTTGGCTAGGAACATAGGAATCCTGTCTATTTGTCCCAGTGTCAGAGAGGAAATCAAATGGAATACTCAACTCTCATTTTACACCCTCGTGTCCTTGTAATGAATCTTATTATTCTTTCCGAATTTATCTCAAAGATTGTTCCATTTAATTATCAAAATCTGATAATTATTACCAACGTCGAAAATTATTAAAAATTAATATTTGTAGCAAGTCGATTTACTATTCTCCTAAAGAAACGATAAATTAACAGGAAAATCGTTTCTTGATGATGGCATTAATAAAAACTGGACGATAAGAAACCTAAAGACTTTTAAATTGAAGAATTTTTGTTTATACACACATACGCAATATACATTCCACTCAATGAAAATTAATGTTCTCGAAATACAATTTGAAAAGAATTAAAGTTGAAAAATACTAATTGAAGAATGAAAGCCTTCCATTAAGAAAATAAATGATGATGTTGTTGTATAAACATTTTTTTTCTTCTGGAAAATTTAAAAAATTGTTCGGAATTAATTTATCTTTTGAAAGATTTCAATTTAGAAAAAGTAGCATAGAATATAAATTGTTTCTCTGAAATGATTGCGAGAGATGAAAAAAAAGAACACACAAATGTTCTACTTTATAAGCTGGGGCAACTATTTTATTAGCTGATGCAACTGTTTGAATAGTAGTCACTTTATCTCATAAAATCCCCATTTCTACCAATGAAATACTAACCGATTTTTTCACCGAAGCAAAGAAATTTCTGTTTTCTTTTCAGAAAAGTTAAATTCAAAAAGAGGGTATCAAAATTGTGACCTAAAAGTGAGAAAAAGTAAAATTTAAGGGAAAAATTATTATCAATAATAGTTACTGAAAAGGTTAAATTAAAAAGGGTATCAAGACCTAGAAGTGAAGTGAGAACATTATCTAAAATTAAAAATTGCTTTTTGAATGATGGCGATGGGGGCCAGAAGACAAGTTTCATAAAGAGATGATAAGACGCAACAAAGATCGACTTATAAAAATTTCTCTCCCCCGGTGATATTAATAACCTCTTTAAAAAACTTGTCTTAATGAGGGAGGGATTTAAATGCCATCAGGAGAAATTTGTTTCTCTTGAGTTGTGGAGAATCGTTTATACCTAGAAACTGTATTTTGAAAGGGACAAAGAAAAAAAATACCCCCCGGGGGGAATGCTCAAGTGGTTCTGAATCGAAAATTCGATTTCAGTATCATGAAGTTAGGGAACAGTTGTGTGCAGTTGATGGGCCCATCGATCAGACGTCTTCAGTGGACGATGGGGTATCCATTAATAACCATTTATATGGTGACCCCTTATATTCCTTCTCAAGAGATTCTTTTTTTTCGATTCGCTCTTATCTTGTCTCCCTCACCGTCTTTCGAAGTTCTTTTTTCTTTTCTCCCACTTCACAAATAGGGGGAGAAAAAATAAAAAACCTTACGAAGTTCTTTTCTCCCACTTCTCGCTAATTTGTTCTTTAATAATTTTTGATAAACTTTTTAGAAATGCAACTTTCGACCTAAAGGCCAATCGGATTACTTTGGACAGCGTTTTTTTAATCGTTGGTCATAAGTATCGTCAACTGCGAAATGCAAAAGTGGTTATAATCTCAAACTGTCAAAACTAAAAATTAATCATCAGTTGTCAACAGCATCGTCAACTGCAAACTGCAACTATGGTTATAATCTTAAATTGTCAAAACAAAACTTAATCATCAGTCACTTAATTTGATGAGTTCCAACAAGAATTCGTCAAAAGTAACGTCAACTTCTTTTCGCCAACCTAAAAATCGAGGGAGAAAAGAAAAAACCTTTACGAAGTTCTTTTCTCCCACCTCAAAAAGGGGGAGAAAAGATTTTAAAAACCATGCGAAATGGGAGAAAATAAATTTGCAAGGTTTTTTTCCTTTCTCCCACCCCACAAGGTGGGGATTGCACAGTGGGAAAAAGAAAAAATTGAAGTGGGAGAAAAGAAAAAATTCTTAAGAGAGAAACTCTCTTAAGAGACTCATCGTTGTATGCACTCGAGTTATTATTATTATTATCATGATGATGATGCTGTTGGTGTGAGATTTTTCGTATCTAACGTCAGCGCCTTGGAATCGAGATGATAGACTCTCTGGTACCGGGAATTCCTTGTACGACGCAATGCTCGACACCATGTGTCTATTTTCTTGAGACGAATGGATGAACACATTGAGCCCGATGAGTGATTATTGTGTTGTAATGAAAACGATTGTCAGACTTTGATCGAGCGATCGCTATACGATCCACACTCACACACACACACACACACACAAACACTCTATCGTTTTACGACCCAAAGCGCGTTGGCGTTCCATTTCCGCTGAATTCAATTTCAACTAGTCGCCGACACTCGACTAAATTCCTTCCTTTTGGATTGGCGGAAATTGCTACGTAATCTTCCTTTATTAAAAGTACTGGAAAAGTTTAAATTTTTAGAATTTATAAAAAAAACTCTTAATTCTACTTCAATTGATTCGAAATTAACTGAATTTTGAAAGAGTTGCGTTTACAATACTCATAAATAAATAAACTTCAAAAGGTTTTAATTCAATTATTTTTATAAATAATAATATTCTTTACAGGATTTCAGTTATTTAAAAAAAAATTAATTAATCAAAGCTAATACAGCAGGAGGAAACAAATTAAATACAACGCTTTTATTACGATTTTACTTTCTTTCTAAATTTGAGTCAATGAAATTTGCTGATTCAAATTTATAGAGCGAGAATCAGCAAAATTCGATGATTCAAATTTAGAGAGTTGGAAAGAACCCTAGATCCTAAAATTCTGAAAAAAATTCAAAACTAGAAAATAAAGCGTCGTAATCGTAAAATATTAATCCGCTTGAGGTGTGAAAATAGAAACAACGAAATGAAAGAACAAGTTTCTCTGTATAATCTCTTTTTATGAAAGGGAAGAAGATCGATAAGGATGATCAGGTGTGAGTTGAGGACCTGCAGACACACGTGGCTCGATCGAATTGATTCGTCCGGCGTGCCTTCCTCGTTCATGCATTATTATCCTCCCTTCATCTCTCGTTCGCCTTCTTTCTCTTCTTTTTCATTGTTTTTCGAGTATTCTCCGCCGACGCGAGATAACATCTATCCTGACGATCCTGCACCCTCGGAATGCTGGGCGTGCCAGACAAGAGTCGTCTTCCACGTGGGCTGCTGCCCCCGTGTACATATTGAGAGAAAACGTCCCTGAAACTGTATCTCTCCACTATTTTCATAGATGGGATCATTAAAAGGCAAAAAATAAAACTACCAACAGCAACCCATACTTATGGAAGAAAAATATTTATTTTTTTCTTTTTTTCTATATCACGAACTTGTTTTTTTCTAATGACAAAAATATGGAAACTTTCCGCTCTATGTAAATGAATGTAATAACGAATTTTTTTTTCTTTTTCTTTAAGCGTATTTAAATACAGAGGATATTTGAGGCGTGTTCGGATCTAAAGACAGGGAGAAAATTTGACACTGATTATGGAGTCTAATCACCTTAAGATAAATCTTAATGAGTTGTATTCCGATTTAACTTAAAAAATTTTAATGAAAAAAATTTCCGAAATTCATCTATTTCAAAAATGTTATTGTTTATGAAAATAATTGAATTCTTTTGGAAAATTTTATTATAGTAGATATTAAAAATAATTTAATTTCCAAAAATTTTTTAAAAATAATTTAATTCCTCAGAAAAATATAATTATGTATGAAAATAATTGAATTTTTGGAATGAAATTTATTAATATTTTTAAAAATAAATGAATTCATAAAAAGAATTTTATTATTTATGAATATAATTGAAATTTTGACAAATTTATTAAATTTTTTTTTCAATTATTGAATTTCTATGAAAATTTTATTGTTTATAAAAATAATTGAAATTGTAGTCTACAAATTCGACGCTTTTATTCCGATTTTACTGGAACAACTTTTATTTCGACCCAACGGAATCTGCGTGGGTCACACAAACTTGTATTAAAATAATAATTTGTCGCGATAGGCAGATAAATATAAATGAACAGGAACACGAGACTCCTTTTTAAAAAAATATATAAATCGTATAATTCAAGTTATGCGTGAATATATAATAAAATTATATAAAACATTGTTCCCGGCGCCATTCGGTCGGGATTTATGGCTCATTTTTACAACCTGCGCCAATTGAACTGTGCAATTTGTCCTATTACTTAATCCCACGTTGTCGTCTTGTTACAGTTCGTTGATCTGGGAGTGGTGACGAGTGTCGAGATCAACCACAAGCCCGTAGAATTCGCCAGAAAGGGCCAGGAAGTCTGCATCAAAATTGAACCCGTACCTGGTGAGGCACCCAAGATGTTCGGTCGGCACTTTGACGAAAAGGACTTCATCATCAGCAAGGTAAGTTTTTTTTTACTTATTTTACGCTCAAGTTCGAAAAAGAATTGTTCTTTTTATAACTTTTGTTTTCCAAATCGAAAAAAAATTCTTTTCTCACTTTTTCTTATCAAAAAGAAAAGATATTTTTTTGGGTATCTGATAATTTGGAGAGTGAATCGGAATATTTTTTAAGATCAGGAAAAAAGTCGAAATTTAGTCTGAAAATCAGGGATAAGTCAGGGTTGAACAAAATAAATTTTTGTAGCAAGCTTGTTAATGCACCGATGGTATAAAAAAGAACAGCTAAATTTTGTAGAGAAATGCATTTCAAAAAGAAAAAAACACACTGTGAGGAAATAAGTTTTTCCCCCCTGCTGATGAAAAGCAGTCATTGAGAGAGAATATCTCTGAATGAATAAAGAGAAAAATTCGCCCACTTATCGATGATAGTGAATGATGTGAGACACCAAAGGCTATAGATCAGAGATCATCTCTTTACGATCCGTCAATGGAATCGATCGAAGGCCGACATCTATGATGGAACAGCTGCTGCTGCTCGTGAGTATCGACCTTGTGTACTCTCACGCAGGCGCGTAATACGGTGCCATGGACCATTCGCATCAGCTTCGTCAATGAAATCCCCGTGCTCTTTCACTCTAGCGACGCGAGACGGTGTGTGCACCTGCGTCTCGTGCACACGCGTGTTCCGAAAAACGAACCGGTTTCAAATTCTACATTCACCACCACCATATGAATTAGCTCGTTTCAGGAACACACTTTGTAAAATGAAACTCTCCATATCGTTTCGAAGAAATTGAAAAGTTTTTTCTTTCTCTTTTTTTTTGATAAAATGAAATAAACCCTCTCGCGAGAGTAATGAATCGGTTTGTCTTTACCCACGCAAAAACTCACCTAGGGGGGTCGTTTACGACCCCGTGAATTAATTAAACAAGTTGTTTGTTTTTTCGGTTGGATGGAAAAGCAGGTTCTTTGAATGGGACTTTTGAACTTTCTTTAGCAGCAGGTGGCAAGTGCGAGGCGAGAATTAGACGCTTTATGGCGAAGACTGATTTTTACTATGATAAAGGGTATTAATGGCTCATCATAAACGTTGTGGACTTCGCAACCAACAAAATAATATTTAATCTCCAACTTGTCAAAACTAAAAATTAATCTCCAGACTTATTTTCGACATATTTTCTCAATAAGAGAATAATACTTGATGCTGTATTTTTGCATCGGCGAACGAGAATTCACTAGATCGAAAATTTGTTTTTTTAATAATTTTTTAAACTTTTCAGGAATGGAACTTTCGACCTAATGTCCAATGGGATTGCTTTAGACAGCGTTTTTTTAATCGTTGATCATAAGTATCATCAACTGCAAACTGCAACTATGGTTATAATCTCAAACTGTCAAAACAAAACTTAATCATCAGTCACTTCATTTGATGAGTTCCAACAAGAATTCGTCAAAAGTAACGTCAACTGCAAACTGCAAAGTTGATTATAATCTCAAACTGTCAAAACTAAAAATCAATCTTCAGACATATTTTCGTAATAAGAGAAAGACGTGAACAAAGAATTGGTTTTCCAGACTTAATTTTGCTATAGGGAATTAAGTGGATTAAGATGGAAGATGTAAATTCTGCTCGACATTTAGAAAATCTGATGATAATGAAAAATTGCGTTCTGATTATTTAAATTTAGGTATTTTTCAAAGTCGAGACTGTATCTCGTGTGTGTTAACAACAATTTACATTCTAATATTGACACAACACATTCATCTTCGCCCGCGTACAACATTTCCGTTGCGATAATTGGAGTGAGTGCGGGGGTGGACGCAGACACCATTTATATAAAACGAATCTAATATCAAATTCGTTATAAATGTTGACGCTCCATTTATCCTTTGGATTAGAAAGTTACTGTCAAAATCGATTCAGATTATCCTCCGTTATAATGGTTTTGATCAGATTTTCATTTGCGTTATAGAAAATAGTCTTTAAATTTTTTTTCTTTTTTGCTCCTTTTTCTTTTTTGCTTCTTTCTTCTTTTTGCTGTTTTTTTGGTCGTTTTTGATCTTTTTTCCTTATTGCTTTTTCTTTTTGTTCTTCTTCGCCCATTTTTTGTTCCGATTTGCTCTTTTTCCGATCTTCACTTTTTTGCCTCACACTTCTTTTTTGCTCCGCTTTTTAAACTTTGCAATAAGTAGCGTGCGTTTTAAAATTGAAAAGGAATTTTTTTTGCGGTACCTTTAAATTTTAATATGCATGGATCGAAAAGCTTTGGCAAAAGTAACCGTACACCGTCAGCCAACATCGTAGGACGTGACCGCATAATGCGATGCATTTCCCTTCCTGGACAACGACGCCGACACTCCTGTCGCCTTTTTGCGATACAATCTAATGATATCTCTCCCACCTCTTCACTCCTCTCCTCTCTCTTCTCCGTATAAAAACTTCTCTTTCTCCTTGTCTGCCCCCTGGCGCGGAAATTGTACATAACGGACTATTGGTTTCCCCTCTATTACTTTTCACGATGAGGCGTGAATATCAATAAGGAATCTTATCGTATAGGATATTTTTTTGCAAAATCGAAATTTAATTTTCCTTCGATTTCAAATTATAAAAAATATACGAAGATTTATTCGAAGCATTTTTAGAATCACGAAAATTCTTCGGGGAAAAGGTGAAAATTTCTTTTGGAAATCAGGGAGAAGTTAAATTTTTGTGACAAGACCGGAAGTATTAATTTCTTTTAGAGGAATCGATACATTATGTCATGCGCTGAGTTGTCGAGCTTTTAAATTCAAAATGGTTATACAGTGACAAATGTGGTTTTCGTTATAAGTAATAATTTTTTTTGTTGGAGTACCGTCCTGATAATATGAGGTATAATTAGCTGACCTTCCGTTCTTCGTATATGTCGATCTTTGCGTGGTTAACGAGGTGTGTCAGGCTGTCGCGTGGCCTTTCCATCGTCTGCTCATTCAGTCGCACGACGTTCCTTCTTTTCATCGATCCGACGCGACGCCCCATTCATAAGTTCGTCCGATTGTCAAGTCCCACGCACTCGTTTACGCTGCTTAACCATTTCGTGTGCCCACCAAGTCACTTCATTTAGAAAACACCAAATTATATTATTTAAGCATTTTATGAAACGCTCTCGAGGGCACTGAGGCTTGACAAAAGAAGTGGAGTCTTTTTCCCTCTCAAAGGGCGGCAAGTCAACTTAAATGTTTCAATTTTTGATTGCTGCGTGTGCAATGTGAAAAGAAATATATCGAATTTTTAGTGAAGCGAATATTGTTTTCTTGTTGGATAAAGCAAAGGTTCAATGAACGTGAGTCGATACCAAATTTTCTGCTATGTAGTTATCAAGTCGAGTGGAATTGGTCTCAACGGAGCGGAATATAATACTTGATGCTGTATTTTTGCATCGGCGAACGAGAATCCACTAGATCGAAAATTTATTTTTTTTAAATAATTTTTTATATTTTTCAGGAATGGAACTTTCGACCTAATGGCCAATGGAATTACTTTGGGCAGCGTTTTTTTAATCGTCGGTCAGAAGTATCGTCAACTGCGAAATGCAAAAGTGGTTATAATCTCAAACTGTCAAAACAAAACTTAATCATCAGTTGTCAACAGTATCGTCAACTGCAAACTGCAACTTTGGTTATAATCTTAAACTGTCAAAACAAAAATTAATCATCGTCACTTCAATTGATGAGTCCCAACAAGAATAGCCGAAAATTAAACTTTTCCCCCATCATCAACTCCCTTGAGAATTATTTTTAATTAATTAAGCATAGGATCTAAATTTATTTTTGGTACGAATTAGATAATATAACTAAAAGTACAAGGTTTTTTACTGGAAGTAGCGGAGGGGAATTGATGAATAAAAGAGAAAACATGATCGGGATGAATGGGAGAGTGACCGATAGGTAAATAGTGGTAAGGTGCGTGGTTCGCCATCGAACGAAAGAGTGATTCATGAGACTTTATTTGAGACCACGGTGCGGCCTCGAAATACGGCTCAAGTGCCGCAATGAATGATCGAGTGACCGAGTGAGCGAGAGAGGAACCATCGGAGCAAAAGAGAAGGCTATCGAGCGTTCGTTATATAATCTCAAAATGCCAGCCAACATTGAGACCATTCATTGATTTCCACATATTTACGACTGGCAGAGGAAAATGTATCGATTTACGCACTATTCGATATCGCTGCTCTCAAATGATAACTGCACACACCTCCTATTTTATACACATGTACGTATATCTCTCTGCTAGTTTCAACCACCACTCTTCTAAAGCAACTCGTATCAGTGGCGTAGTACCACAATATTCTATTCGAGATTTTTCGAAGTTTGATTCGAACTTGAAATCAAAATGTTCGATTGTCTAAATTTTCTTCTTCTTCTTGGTTTTTAATGGTTTCGAATTAATCAGGCCACTTCTTGTTTTGTCTAAATGACACTGAACGTCAAGGAAATTCAAAACTTCGAGTAAGTCCGGAAATCCAAAAGTTGGAGTAGTAAGTCTGGATATCCAAATGTTCGAGTAGCTAAACGTCCGGATATTTAAACATTCGATTGTCTTAACTTCAGGATATCTAAACAGAGTACCCTAAAGTACCATTTTGATTTGAATTTTGAAAACTTTTTCTAATTTTGAAAATTAGTTCCAAAGTAGTGAATAGATGTCTGTCATTATAGTGTGAGATGGTAAAAACATTTCTATTTTTTGTAGTATTGTGTGAGAAATACGCAAAGATCTGTCGTTTCCTGTTTCTTTTGCTTCATTTCTTCTTTTTTTTCACGTTGAGAGACTTTCGTCAACGAAAATGTCTCTTGCTGAAACAAATATAGAGAAAGAGAGAGAGAGAGAGAGAGACTGCAAACGTTCACAGAAGGCACGGCGTCGATTCAAGTGGTCAACACGTGTGTCGTTGCCGCTTCACGGACTCGTTGAATTACACAAGGATATACAAACGGCTCTTTTTGCTGTAAAGAGGGAA